TAAGCCGAGGGCAAGAATGTTTAAAAGGTACTTCTCCAAATCAGAAATTAACCTTCTTGTAGTGCTCATATGCATAAAAGTTGACAGAAGAATAAGGCAGACGATGAGCAATAGTAACTAAATTTCCTTTCCAGAAAGCTCTAAATCCCTCTTCGTTGACAATTCGTGAAGCCTCATTCCATATGCTGGCATTCCTCAACGACGCGGCATTGGAGTGCATACCTTGAACCTGAAGACGTTGCATGAGTAAAGCAGAAAATACTAGACATTAGCCAGATAAACTCATTGTTGAAGAACACAGGAAAGAAGCCAGATACGGATCACATCAATAAATATTTATCCTCCAGAAATCATTTTCTTAGCAAAGCAAATAAACTTAACGTCAAATCAGGAAGAACTGAGAAAATGTAACAAGTTTTAACTGTAGGCTTTCCCCCTCCTTAATGAAACTACTAGTTTTTTTTTTTGGTTGGTCCCTCCCTCTTTCCTCCGTCTGGTCCTAAATCTTCCTCTTGAACCGAATGTCTGAGTGGTTGAAGAGTCCCACGAAAAACCCAAATTATTCTCCAACCGACATTACTCCCACGGAAACAAGAGATGCGTATGATTAAAAAAATGTTTATGTCACGAAAAACACAATTCATTTGGGGGCAATAATAGCAGTATCAGCATAGATTATACTTGAACATTTTCTGGGAAAAAACCGCACAGAAGAGTCAAATTGAAGGAATATAAACCAAGACAGCCTGCATAGCCAAAAGCAGAGAAACGAAAGAAAAATGCCAACCTGAAAGAGTATGGTCAGTCGAGCAAGCGGCGCTGTACAGGTCTTGCTAAGAGCACCGGCAACGCCCCCAGCAAGAAGCTGAGAAATAGTCCCAATGTCGGAACGTTGCTGCTGCGCCAACTTCATACACACCGCCACAACGGCAACACCTCCTTGACTTGAATTGATACCTCTTTTCCCCCTTTCGACCACTACCCCAACCCTAGTATCCGCTTGCATATCAAAACCCTCTTTGCTCTCCGTCTCTCTCTCTCTCTCTCTCTTTCTCTCTAAATTCCTTTTCACCACTTTTAGCAAATAAATGCCGCCTCGCTCGTGGTTCCGAAGAAATCAACCGCAAGATTTTGAACCTTCAATATCAAAAAAAGAAACACGACGTCTTCATGGTGCATGTACGTGCTTCAGAGGAGGTTCTCCTTCCTCGCATCCTTCTGCTCTAGTTTCTCAGCTTTTGAGCTTTTCAGCACGTTCCCCCATCCCTGCCGTGAAGTTTTAAAAAGCTCAGGAGGAAGAAAGAAAGAAAGCGGCTCATCCATACGACGCCGTTTCAAAGTCCAAGTCAATTCGAACGCCTCATCCCGTGAGACACGATTGGCCTATTAGGGGAAAAACGAACAGCTGGCGTTGCCGTACCTTAGTCTTACTGTCCTTCGACCTGTTCTCGTGTGATCGGTTTACCATAAAAGCGTCTGAAACCGCTTGATTTTGGGAGTCCCGTGAGATTTATGATGATAAATGGGCAAATCTAAATACGTGACCTGTGAGGAACACGAGCGTTACCGTGGGACGTGATGCAGGAGATAAACACAGGAGGAAAGGATAAACAGATTCTTTGTCCCCAAGAATATACCTGCAAATTGAGAAGAGAAGGGCGCCACAACTGTGGAAATTAACGTTGGCCAATGTCAGTTGAGCAAACCTCCTCTTAAACAGGCGACGCGTAAGATGCAATGTGTCGTAAATAAATACTTAGTATTACTTTAATTTACTATTGCTATTTTGCGAGGCCCACCGACTTACTTTTCTCGGTTGATATTTTGGTTGGAAAACTCACGAATCATGATTCCGCAATATAAACATTTTTCATATTTCGACGGAAATAAAATAAACTGTGAATTCCACAGGCTTGCCTCTTTTCTCCTTCTTCTTCTCTTCTTCTTCTTCTTCTTCTTCTTTTTTCAATGTCTTCGCCCTAAAATCTTCTATAAAACCCTCTCTGCGCCTACTTATTAAAAAACAAGTTAAAAAATAATTTAATTATAGTTTTTGTCTTGTAAGTAAATTTGGGGATGATATTAAAATAATAATCCTAGAATTAAAGAGAGAAACAAACAGTCAATTCCAATATTCCACTAGTTATACAGTGCTTCAAATCATTAATATAAGAGCTAATTGACTAATTTGAGTAAATTAAGAAAACTAATTAAGTTAGCTATTTGTAATAAATAGGTCTTATTTTTCCTAAAATATCTTTACTAATCAAATATATTGGTTAGAAATGTCATTATTATCATGATATCTTAGAAAATAATAGATAAATATGAGAGATAAAATGAATTTAGGTTTCATATTTAAGACCAAAATAAAAATCAAACAAGTTTTTATATTAAATATCGAATGTAGTATAAAATATTGTGAAGGATCTAATTGATATCCTCTCCCCAGCTAAAGTTAAAGGGTCGTTTTGTTTATTCGCATGCGTTTTCACACTATAGAAATCTGCCAAACCGTCCTACGTGCAAAATGAGAAACACGTCTTCCTTGATCAACTTTGCTTCTATTCTATTATATTTTCCCTATAGCATACAAAAGATTTATATTTTCCCTTTTCTAAAGGCGTAGTTCCATTATAACAGGTTTTCTTAGGACGCGATTATTGAATTAGATTTTAATATCTTCACATTTAATTGAGCGTACTTATCTTAAAAGGGTTTTCGATTGACTAAGAATTCACGAACCCACTTTTTTAGCATAAATTATTAGTAGTTTTTTAAAATTTCTTGTCTTTTAGCAGATAAACTAGTCACTTTGATTCTATTTGTTTTGATGTTAATATAAGATTCTTAATTCTATCAACTTTTATATATGCAATCAACATATAAGAAATGTATAAATCAACGAAATACATTAAATCTAGTTAGAAACCTTAACTTTTTCCAAAACGAAGTATAAACTCCCAAAAATGCCATTCATTTAACACTACATTATAAATACTCCTCCGATCTTTAATATAAGACCATTTAACTAATTTGATTAGATTAAGAAGGTTAGGTAAGTTTTATTATTAAAAAAAGTGATACATTTTCTTTTAAAACACTATAATCATATTTCTTAATACCCCCTCTCCCTCTCCCTCTTCTTCTTTTTATGGTTGAAGGAATATCCATAGGGGTAGTTTAGAGAAAATTGATAAATATGAGAAATGGTCTTATATTTAGAACCAAAATCAACTCAAGAATTGGTCATATATTAAGGATCGGAGGAGTAACTCACAATAAATGATGATTTTTTTAGAATAAAATCATTAATAAATTAAATAATTGTTTTCTTCAAAATATTGTATATTATGAATCATTAAATTACCACTCTAATAATATTTTATAAATCAAAATAGAAGGAATACAATAATAAAGATGCTTTTATTTCAGCAATAACGAGACATCAGTAACAATAATATATACAGAATTAGTCTTCTTCCAACAATCGATGATGAAATATCTTTTAAGGTTAAAAGAACTCTACACTTAGAATGATGCAATTTTGCCATTAGTTAACATATGTCTGATTCTAGCGTCCTTATGGACCTATTTTAAGAGAGGGGTACAGCTTCCTCATTATCCTAAAACTTAATACTTGTATGGAGTTACATATTAAATGTTTATAAGTATGTTCATATAAGTTAAAACAAAACTCTTCTCATATACTTATCTCGTATTCTGTAAATCACAATTAAAAAATTGCTTTTGAAGGATTCTATCGCATTGCAAACAACTACTTTAATACTTATCCGGTTCTTAATATAAAACCTATTTAACTAATTTTATTATATTAAGGAAGTTAGGTAAATTAGTTAATTATAATAAATATGACATGTTTTTCTCAAAACACCTAGAATCATCTTCCTTAATATCCCATCTTCTTCTTCTATTTGATTATAGTTGAGAGAGTATCCATAGGGGTAATTTAAGAAAATAATAAATATGAGAAATATGTCTTATATTTAAGACCAAAATTAATTTAACAATTAGGTCTTATATTAAGGACCGAAAGAGTATATTATAAAGTCAATCTATATCCTTTAGGCTTTAAATAATCTTCATTTCTTTACAATTGAAATCCTAAATTATATTAGATGCTCATATTAACTAATAAGCATGGGTGTTCATCTGGATTAAAATTAAATGATTTGGATTTGATTTAACTTATCTATTTTTAATATTTTAATAGATGTTGAATATAAATTAAAGATATATTTTAAGTAGGTTTTGACTACACTTGACTTGTATATAATGACACATCATTTAAAAAAATTTTATTTGGGATTTAGTAATTTTCAGATTTTTTGTGTGTGATTTTCCTTTTTTAAAAAAAAAATTCATTTGAAAATTAAAAACTTGGATCTGAATAGTTACTAGTTACTCCAATGACAAGCATTGCATATGGACACATTACCCAAGATTTTGCCATATTGAAGATAAGAAAATCACAATAATAATAACCGAACACTAAGCAGTAAACAATTGTCTAATAGACAAATATACAACTTGTACTTGGGGCCAAATTGCAATGAACAGGCTACTTTTAAGATAGTACGGCCCAAGGAGCCATAGACTTGAAGGCCAGAACATTAAGCATGCAAACATCTTAATATGTAATGTGTCCATGGAAGAACAATTCACCAATTTGAGGCAATTATATGTAGCACAATATGTTTAGCAGAAATCATAGGAGTCAGCTAAACTCTGGCGGCTTCATCTTCAACCCCATCATCAGCTTGCATTACCCTCCTCTGCACTGGTTTGTAAGTGTACCTTCGTGCCAACAACACGAAGCCACACAGATTCAGAGCACCTAACACAGCCAATAACCAGTAAAAATAGTCCAAACGACTCATATTTATATCCTTCCCAATCCAACTCTTTCCATTTTTCCCTGTAACATGATCCACAATTATGATCAGAAAGCTGCTCAAGAAGCTTCCCACCCCAATCACGCTCAGAAATAAAGCTATCCCTAAGCTTCTCATTGAGTCAGGAACTTGATCGTAGAAGTACTCTTGCAAACCCACAAGAGAAAATGAATCCCCAACACCTAGTAATAAGTACTGAGGCACCAACCAGAAAACACTCATCTTTTCATTCCCAAACATGGCCTTTCCTAGTCTCTCTTTTTCCACTAAGGCTGCAATAACCATAACTACAACAGAGAATGCCAAGCCAATGCCGATTCTTTGTAAAATGCTGATGCCTCTTTCGTTTTTCCTTACTCTCCTCAAAAACGGGACGATGATTCTGTCGTATATTGGGACAGATATTAAGGTTCCAATAGCTCCTGCGGCGGCCAGAGAAGCTGGTGGGATCTTGAAACTGTGAGTTATGTTGAGTTTCATGGAGTCTGCTTGCTTCACGAAGAGGGTTGTGCTCTGTGCTATGCAAAGTCCGTTTGTTAATGAAGTTAACCATATGGGAATCATACTAACGATAAGCTTTGCCTCTTCCACCCTCGTTAAAGTCGTAAGTCTCCATGGGTTAATGTCTCCCTGATCCTCATTCCTGTCTTCGATTATTGCAGCCTTGTCCAGACATCTGTTGATTCAATTATGGATAATTAATTTCTAACTAATAAGTTCATGAAATGTAAGAATAGTGGGGTATTGGTGTATACCTGAGCCTGTTGGTATGCCTTAGAAGCCTTCCCTGTGACTTGGGGACTTCATAAAACAGAGAAGGATTTGAAGGGCAGGGTAAGTTCCTTTTCCTTATTGCTGCAACTACCACCTGCAAAATTGGTGTCAAAGTGTTTCCTTCTGAGCTCCTGAACCTGTAAAATGGCTTTCCAACATAGAAAGCTATGATTGTTACGGCCATTAGAATAGTGAGGCCAAGACTCGCAAGTCCCCAGCTCACATAGTCTTGAACGTAAACAACCACAGTAACACCAAGCAGTAAGGCAAAGCACAGAGAGAAGTTCCACCAATTGAAGTAAGACATCTTCTTCTTCCTCTCTTCCGAGTGATCATCGTCAAATTGATCAGCCCCAAAGCTCTCTAAGCAGGGCTTGTATCCTCCTGTACCCAAGGAGATACAGTACAGGGCAAGGAAAAATACCACTTCATGAGCCTTCCTGGGCTTAACACACACCTTTGCATTATTCTTGCATGGCGTTAGACTTGGGATGAACAGAGACATAGTCAAGAGGCTTAATCCCTGGGTTCACAACGTAAAAAGGTCAGATTTTTTGAGGTGGGTTGGATTCAAATTGGCAAAAAGATTAGATTTCTTTTTGGTGTAAAACGAGAGAGTATGGGTTGGTTACCATAAGATACACGAGAGAAGAAAAGAGAACCATATGGAAGCGACCAGTGTAGGCATCACCGACAAATCCTCCAAGTAAAGGCATCAAGGTGGTTGTTCCCGCCCAGTAATTCACATTCTTTGCTGCTGTATTGAGGTCTTGGTGAATCACTTTGGTGAGGTATGTGATGAGATTCGTTGCTATCCCAAAGAAACTCACTCTCTCACTAAATTCAATAGCTGCCACAAAAGTCGACTCAAAATCACCGAACTATTGTTTCTACCTTCTACTAACTGAATATACGTACAATAACAGAGAACCATTATGAAATTTAGTTCGGTGGTACTGATAGCCATCTCCAAGATTAAGCGATTTTTGTCTGGATGAACCAAAAAAATTTAGCTAAAACCGAATACTCAAAATCCTCTAGTTTGAAAATGCAGGCTACAAACTGATATTTGTAGTTCTCCTTCAATAACAGCGAAGTTGGTCAGATATAGAAAGCTATTCAGTTTTCTGGGTTAATGGTCTGTGAAATGAGAAGAAGCATGTTTTGGCTTTAGATAGAAATGCTTACTGAGGACGAACGGGATAGCTTTCCAGACGCCAGTGGAAGCACGAAGAGGAAGTCTGCCTCTGTAATCCACAGAAGCATCGTGAACCCATTTCTCTTCATCAGTTTCTTCTCTGGTGCTCCTCTTTGCGTGGTCCATTTCTTGCTCCATCATCAGTAGTGAAAGATGCAGGGTAGAAAAAACCTCAGTGGAAAGGTTATGTTATATAGAAGAAGAAGACAAGGTTGGGTGATACTGATAACTACAGTTAGTTAGTCCCTTTGATTAGTTGCATTTTATCTGAAACATTATGCCCAATCATAGTCTCAAGGAATCGCCACTCATGTGGATTCTCCATTATCTTTGATCAAGAATAGAGAACCTTAAGGCTCTGTTTAATCAACCTCCCCTCCCCTCCGTTGAACCAACCAAAGCGTAAACCAGTGGGTTCATTATTTGTTATATTACTTTACTAAGCCCAGTAACTACATAGAAGTGTTGTTATCTTATACATGAACTTTTTGTAGGAATCAAAGTACGCACAAATGAACCAAAATATGTAGAGTTACAACAGATGGTGTTAAAGCAATGAACCACAAAGTGCTATTTCGCTTGGGAATAAACTTAAATGGACTTGGAATATACAGAGTGGAAAGCTTGGAGTTAAAGAAATAAGCCACAAAGCCTCTGGTTTTCACTCACAATTTTGCTTCCTGTCTCTTATTACTGTGAGCTGCCGCAGTAAAGGATTGGACTTGGGAGACTGTCAAAACTTTATGGATTGAAATATGAACAGTTTGAAAACTTTTTAAGTTTTATATGCATGTAGAGAGAGAGTAGTACAAGTTCGATTAATTTCTGGCCCTATATCTAACAAAAGATCTATGCTTCTCTCTTGGAACAAGGAGGTGTTTGGATGAAACCAAACCATGGTTTGAAAAATAGCTTCTGGAGAATAGATTTTGGGAAGAATAGATTTTGTAAAAAATGGATTTTGGAGAGAATAAATTTTGTAAAGAATAGATTTTGTGAAAAAATGATTCTGAGAAGTGAGAGTGTTTGAATAGTTGTTATCAGAATCACTTTTTATATATAGAAATTACTAAAAAAAACATAAGTTAATATGATAATTACATAAAAGATAGATTTTATGATATATTTTAATTTGAAGGAATAAAATTGTTAATAATATATTTTTTACCAACATAATTAATAATACATAAGATAATATAATTAATGAATAATTAATATGTGTATATATATTTATAAGATATAAGATTAATATGTTTATAAAAAATTAATTGAGAGATGTTAAAGTCATATTATTATTGAGATCTACTTTGACAGGCACAATCATACTTTTCAATTTGAGCCAGAAGCAGAATGAATTCACTTCTCCTGAAACTATAGTTTCAGATTATGACATCAAAATTGATGCTGTTTGGGTGAGATTTCACCCAAACTATAGTTTTAGGAGTCACCCAAACAGGTCCTAATGGGGGCGGGTTTTGCTGGCTTCAGAGGACAGAGGGGATCAGATTCTTGAATGGATTCAAAGCTGAGTTCCTCAAGTAGAGTAAGAGGGTACGACTAAACCATTAAGGAGACATAGCTACCAAGTCAAAATACGGTAGCTACACATGATCCAGATGGGCTATAATAATTATACGGATCTGTAGAATTAAATGATTGTTGGGGGGTAGATAGCACCATAATAAAGTAAATTTCACTTCTGACTAAAGAAGGACACGCGTTCCTTGCCTACAGAAGTAGATGGCCCAGATGAACAGAACTCTTTTTAGTCTCAAAGTTCAGATTCTGCAAATAAAAAAAAAAATACTCTAAAAAGGCTGTACTCATTCGGGGTTTGAGTTTAGATTTAGGCTCAATCACCAATATGCCATCCTCATATTAAAGCAAATAAGGAAGAATTGGTTAAAAGGATTAAATGACTCAGATATTTGGATAAAAACACTAAATGTGGAATGTTTTTGAAGATGCTTACAGAATCAGCTTCAACAATGATCAATAAAAATTCTTGAAGGTCTCTTGAAACTCATTGCAGATTTTAATTTTTTTTTAATCATTTTCAAATGCTCGTTCTTCTTTCTAAGTATTCAACCATTGTTCCGTAAGATAAGCTAACTTTTAATGAATACTGCGAAGAGGGAATCCACTCCTTGCATACAGCAAATTCAGAGAACAAATTCTGTTTCTCCTTGTTAGCGGATAAACCGATACATTGCTCTTTCTGCCGTGCTTTGTTTCTTACTCTTCACTGGTTTTTGATTTGATTCTTCGTGGATTTAATGAAAAGAAGAGAGATATTTTGATAACCGGAATCAACACATATATCCAGTTTCTGGACAAGTCTCCTTCTCAGAAATATGAAATTTATCCGCCTTTCATTTAGCATCGCTTCTTTGTCTTCAAAATGTTGACGTCACACCACAAGGTTGGCAAAAACAACACAAATCAGTTATTCAAATTGAAAAGGCTTTATATATATTCACTTGACATCAAATATATGAGTACATAACATCCTCGTTCACTCCCAACTTTGTTCCTATCCTATCCTATCCCTTACAAAAGTTAACAAATGATATATATATATATATATATATTATACTATCTCCGGTCATAATTATAAGACCCAGTTGACTAATTTGAGGAGATTAAGGAAGTAAGTTAAGTTAGTTATTTGTAATACATAAGTGTTGTCATTCCTAAAATATTCTTGCTAATTAAGTGTATTGGCTAAAACTATCATTATTAGAAGGACTATTTTAGAAAAAAATACATAAATATGAGAGACAAAATGGATTGGGGTTTTATAATTAGGACCAAACAAAAAGTCAAACGGGGTCTTATATTAAGGACCGGAGGTAGTATTATTTATGGTTAAGCAATAAAACATACTACAATACGGTCCAATATAAGAACTAATTTGACTTTTAATTTGATCCTAAACGTAAGACCACAATCCACTTTATCTCTTATATTTATTCATTTTTTTCAAAGTAGTCATTGAATAGTTACACATGTTAAGGGTTTTATCAGATGATAGTTCTAGCTAATACACATAATTAGTAAGGGTATTTTAGAAAAAATAATACTTATTTATTAGAAATAACTAACTTAACAAATTTTCTTAATTTATTTAAATTAATCAACTAGCTCTTATATTAAAAATCGAAAGTAACATAATCTTTCGAGTCAAGCTAAGTTTTGTAGCTTAATTCATTGATACTAAATACCGACTATACTGAATTAATTTTTATATTATGAATAGAAGAAGTATAATTAAATTATTAATAATATTTAGCGGATGCCCACTATAATGTACGACCACGGATCCGATCATCCCAGCAACCCGGAGGGAGTGGACGATTTCTTTTCATTTAATTAAAAAATGATCCCTAGATACCTATAGGCTTCTATTTAATGTTATGAAATTGGAAAATTAACAAATAAAGACCGCCTAATATGTAAAATTATTGTTTGGGACTCTTCATTTAGAAAATAGCAAATAAAGATCCGGTCTCATATTGTAAATATGAAATCTTGGTAAAATGTCTGAAATCACAACTCAAGTATACCAAATGACAAATTGACTATGAGAAATGACAAGTCCATTTTAGCGAATGACAACTTCAGTAAACCAAATCACAATTTGGCTGAGGGTATGTCAAATAACAAGTTGACTATGAGAAATGACAAGTTCACTTTAGCGAATGACAATTTCAGTAGATTAGATCACAACTTGACTGAGGGGCATTTCAGACATTTCGTCAAGATTTCATATTTGCAATATGAGACCGAGTCATTTCAAATTGAGGGTCTCAAATCATAATTTTATATATTGGGAGTCTTTATTTGCTATTTTTCCCATGAAATTCTACTAAATTGTCAATATACTAGTATTTTTTAAAAGAGACTAAATTATCATTTTTTCAAAAGAAAAATCTTTTTGGCATTCCGCATAAAGAGTCGTGTTTACAGCCATAACCACACCAACATAGCTTTTCGAAATGCATCAAAGAATATATGCATTAATTAAACAACACCATTTGCGAGAATCAGAATCCTGCATGAATTAAAATCCAGACAACGAATGAATTCATTTTGACTCTTCTCCCATGCTTTTGCAATCATTAAGACGACGCTGCCATTCTTGAGAGCCATCTATATAATGTTTGGTTTTGATGAAAAAGAGAAATAAAAAAGGTATGAAAATACTAATAGCATCATTATTAATTAATTATTTCGTTAAGTACATGATGCCATTAGTGACAGTGAAATATCATCTCCATAGATTAATCATGGGTTAAAGTTCAAATTTATCCTGAAAGTTTTCACTTAGGAACTCTAAGTATTGAGAAGTTTTTTTTAAAACAAACTTGTTTTGAAAGTTTAAAACTCTGACAATATTGTCTCTTATCGTGAAAAAACTAAAATTGAATGTTAAAATAGTGACATTAACCATTAATAATTTTAACGACAAAGGATGATATTGTTATAATTTTAAATCTTCGGGATAAATTTGTTTTCAAAAAAACTTCCGGATATCAACACTCTTGAGTAAAAATTTTTAGAGCAAATTTACACCTTAACCCATTAATCATTGAGTTTCAAATGACTCCATCTATTGCAATATTGCATTAGAGGATAATATTCTGGATTTCATGGAATGAATGAAGAGGCTAGATTTCCAAAATTGCCTCCACGTTAACTTTATTTTGAACGATCACCGAATTTTTTAAAAGTGATGAAATTATTTCTAGCTAACTTTTTCATCAGATGTGTCTGTGTCCTCTAAATAAAAATAATTCATTCATCTTAATTACATCATACAACTCAATACATGACTTTAATATTTTAACAAAAAAATAAAGCATAGAGATATTATTAAAAATTAAGCGGATTAAATATTTATCATCAATGGAAGAAATTGCAATGCAATTGTTTCACACAGTAATTTTCATACAGGAAATTAACTAGTGGAATAAATATTATACAAAGAATTAAGTTTTTATCAAAATGCATGCAGAACCTGTTTAACTTAAAGCTACTCCTCCGGTCCTTAATATAAGACCCATTTAACTAATTTGATTAGATTAAGGAAGTTAGGTAAGTTAGTTAATTATAAGAAAAGTGACACATTTTTCCTAAAATACCATAATCATATTTCTTAATACCCTCTCTCCCTCTTCTACTTGATTATGGTTGAGGGAGTATCCATAG